AGACCCCGAGGTTAAAGTCAGCCACTGTCTTTTCTTTCGCCTCACCACGAGGTGTTTTAAACTTAGCATCTTTAAGCAACCTGGTAATAAGGTATAGAAATGGAAATGCCCAGGTGGTGGCATTGCTGGACCTCACCAAGATCAACGCATTATAAATCTTAAGAATTTGGTCCCAGACAAGCTGTGGGACACAAAGCCAGTACTCCTTTTCAGCGGCGTAGAGGGCTTTCAAAATATTCCCCTTACGCTCGGAGTGGCCTGGCATGGGAAGGACGTTCTTGGCCACGACTGAATCAAGAAACCACAACCGGCATGGTAAGAAGGATTTATTGGTGCTTGTGGTTCGATTACCGGTAAATTGACCATGACAAATTTCGCCTACAATGTCCGCCAAGGGAAGCTGAGCCGGTGGGTCAACATAAAGAGGGAGGCCTGCCGCATCCACCGGCGAAGCCAATGGACAATCCGTAGCCATAACAAGGTCATCTAGGCCAAATTCATAAACGTCGCCATCAATGGTGGTTTTAATGATGTCAGGTTCCACACATGAATGGAACAGGTTTGCATAGAACAGACGGACCATGCGCGGGTAATAGGCATGAGCGCGTGGTTTAAAAAGCGATGCGAGGCCATGTGCCCGTAATTCGCGGATTGACCATGCAGTTTCTTGATTTTGTTCAAAATCATTGGCAATGTTGAATTTTGCTTCAGGGACAATTGGCCATTCCACCCAATTTGGAGTTAGAGGGACATTGGAAGGTCCCTCGGATGATCGAGCATGCTTTGAAGCCACTTTGGGAGCCATTGGAGTGAGTAAATTTGGCTCAAGAATTTCTACGAACACCTGGCATGCATAAGAATTGGGAAGAGGGACAAAATGAGGTTAGAAACTTGAAAACCCAAAAATTTCAACCTGTAAATGACATGCAATCACCATCCAACAATCACCAATCCCCTACAACTAGAATCCCATTATCCTTAATGCAAAAATTTAAAAGAAAAGGAAAAAGAAAAAAAATATACCTAACTTGGAGGAACAAAATCCCCTTATGCTTAAATGATGAGAGAGTGAGGGATGGGGTATAGGAGGATGAATGGTGAGATGGATGAATGAGAGGGTTAGGGAAAGATTAGAAGGAGATGGAAAGTTGGAGAGAAGGCAAGAGAAGAGTTAGGGGCGAGAGTTGAGAGGAGGTAGGGTTTAAAATGAAATAAAATGGGGGGAAATGGGCTTGGAAGCCCATTTAACAACAGCGGAGGGGATCCGCGGGCGCCCGCGAGGCAACTGAAGCGAGCTGTGGGATTTGGCAGGCACCCGCGATGGGGTGGCGGGGGCCCGCGAGACCTACGGGAGCCCGCGGAGACATCATGGCTACTGCCCAGTTTGGCGGGCGCCCGCGGTAGCGCGGCGGGCGCCCACGGGGCTCTGCAGATGCTTCCTTGAGCAGCCTCATTTGGCTTGTAAGGCCCGGGATGGTATCGCAAGCAACTTAAACATGGACTGAAAGCACTCCATGGCCCTAGTACACGTGAAGCATTGCCGGAGCTAGATTAGGCGCTCAAATTCAGAAGCGACAGCTATGAGATGCAAATGCTATTTGAATTTTTGGATTTGGACGAGACAAATGCCTAAATGACCATGAATAATTCCAGACGTGGTATAGAAACCTGAAAATGACTATGAAAACTGAATGTGACCACGGAATGCAAGATGAGACAGTTCCGTGAAATTGCACATTTGGGTTAAACTTAGCGAATTCCCGGAAAATTCTTAGCTAAGGCAACTTGGAAGAGGGAAGCTTGGAAGTTGAAAGAATTGCTTCCCATGAGTGCTAAATTTAACGTCGATAGCTGGACGAACCACATTTTGCATTAGTCCTCATTACCCTATACCATGTCTCTCTAGAGAGTCATGCTTCCCCAAATAAGAAAGTTCTTTTAAAAGCAGAGGAAAAAGAGGTTGAAGATAAAATTTGAAAAGAGGTAACGAAAAGACCTCAACCCACTCTTCTTCCTCAATGAAGAACTTTGGATCATTTAGGGGCTGTTTTGGATTATGAGAAGGTGGATAAAGTGAGGGCACACCTAGCAAAGGTTTGTGAAAGATCATATTTAGCACGGGAATGCCCGAAAAATTGTCCTTTAAACTTTCAACATCCTCCTCACACTTATCCGGTGGTTCGGGCTCAACAGTTTGAGACAATTCAAGTGAATGAATGGGAGGAAATGCAAGCTCCCAAAAAAGAGATACAGTTGATGTTACCCAGGGAAGAGAGTGAATGGGTGGAGGAATATCAAGCAAAGAATTTACTTCCCAAATAGAATTGTCAACATCAAAATCCTCACAATTGAAATGAGCAAAGCAAGCTTTTAGAGGATCCTCCATTGAAGGAGGTGTATCAAGCGAAGGATTCTTTAGGGGTTGTTTTGGATTTTTAAAGGAGACAATCTCTTCATCATTATTTTCCTCATTTTGAACCACAAATTCTTCAATTTTTTGTGTGGCAACAATTTGATCTTCAACCACAATTTCTTCATTTTCACATGTGGTAACCATTTGATCATTCTCATGATGAAAGTTACTAGGAGTAATCTCATCATTCATAGAATTTTCTTTTAGATTGGCCACAAGTTTAATTGGAAATTCTTTTTCCTTTTCATCATTTAGAGCATTAACCATTTGTTGAATTTGGGCTATTTGGTCATCTAACTCAACTCTAGATTGGAAATGAGAATAGGTGGTGGATTGCATGCTAACAGTGTCAGAACATTTGCTTATTGGAATCCATCATTTGTTTGTTGATAGACTCCAACATTTGTTTGTTGGCAGCAATAAACTCATCCAATTGAGATGGTGAAAAAAGAGAAGAGGGCTGGAAATAATGATCATTAGGTTGAAAATTGGCGTGAAAATGTTGCCCATGAGATTGTGGGGTTGAATTTCCTATGTCATGCCACAAGAAGTTTTGATGATCTCCCTAACCCGAGTCATAACCATTGAAATATGGATCATTACCCGGTTCAAAGAAATTTTCAGTTGGTTGCTCTAGATAAAAATCTTAGAATTGTCCCGGTGGAGGACAATCTCTTGTATGATGTGTATGACTAGAGCAATATGCACAAAACTCATATGGTGTGTAAAATTGAGTTAGAAGATAATTACCCTCCATCTAGGACTAATTCAGCCACTTGTTTAGATACATTAGGATAAATTCACACAAAATATATACAACACAGATAAGATACACAACAACCCTTCACCAAAACATCCACATGTAATAATCCCTTTCTCCTCAATTATCAACAAGACAGAAAATAAATGGCCTCGACAAGGACCGATGCTTTGTAAAACAGAAAAACAATAATAGCCTCGACAAGGGCTTCATAAGCTAAATATCTCTAAATTAAACACATGCAAGATATTCACAATTTAGATACTAGAACTTTGAAAAACTTACCTGAAGTCTTCTAGACTTAAGATATTTTCATTTTTCCTTAGCAAGCCTTGAGTCCCTAGAATCTCACAAGAACTTAAAACACAATGATAATCAAAACCGACAAAAAAAATATTCACAAAACACAATATTAACAATCAAACCAAAGGTAATCCTAAAACCTTGGTTGCAAAACTGTTTGCAGTCCCCGGCAACGGTGTCAAAAATTGATCGGTTTGTCAATTATACATCAACCTTTGCAATAATACAAATCATTGTAAAATAGGGCTATTGGTCGGGTAAGTCGAACCACTGGGACTGCCAGTTTATGGCAACTAAGGTCTTTAAAATTCCCTTTTAATTTGATAAAGGGTGTAAATAGAGGTTTGTTGGTTTGTCACTAAACTTAGGAATTTAAAATGCATAAAACAATGACTTGCAAGAACTTTAAAGAAAAGAAATTCAAAAATAGAGGATTAAGGAAATGAATCCGCTCCAACCCTTTACACATGCTAGAAAAAGACTAAATTGGGGATAAACAATATATATAATGGTCAAGAATTATATAGCAACCTATGGTTACCATATAATCGTCAAGAAGTTCATTAAATCAAAAGCAAGAATGATCCATCAAAAGTTCATATAATTGAACTACCTAAACTAGGGTGTAGTATCAAGCATACTCTCTTAAGCAAAAGATCATCAAGCCCTTAATCAAATGGTAAAGCACATGAAGTTAGGAATCAAGCATAAACCATCAAAGGGATTACCTAAGCAATGGACTATCAAAGCTCTCTATCAACATGCCATTAAAACCATTCCATAACCTTATTTCCATTGTCACCATGAAAATGCAAGCATTATAATTAAGATAAGAAATCATCTAAGACAAGATAATTAACTTAAAACAATCATTAATATCCATTAGAATCCATTACAACAAGTAATATGCTCTAGATTATGGAAAACCAAAACTATACATCATTATCCCCAAAATAGAAATTAGTCTAGAACATACTTACAATGGAGGGCTTCATCACCTCCCTAGATAAAGGTTTAGTTACCCTTAGGAACAAGGAATGAAGGAGAAGAAGCAAATCCACCCTCCATTTTCGTGCTCAAGCAAGCTAGCACTCCAAACCCTCCAAAAACACTACTTTCTCTCTCTAAAACTTATCTAAATGTGAGATGATCCCATAAGTCATGCTTTTTCCCCTTCTTATCCACCCAAAATCTACTCTCTATCCACCCAATCCTGAGCTCCAACCACCCTAGATGAATTAGAACCACAGAAATTACATAGGAGACCAAAATCAGCCTGAAATCCAGAGCAGGTAAGATGTCATCTGCAGATCCGCGTGGCGCTGGCGGGCGCCCGCGAGCTTTCATGGCTCGAGGGAAGCTACTGGCATAAACGGCGGGCGCCCCCGATGACGCGGTGAGCGCCCGAGGGAGCTCGGCAGGGGCCCGCAAACCTGTGGCGGGGCCCCGCGAAACTAGGCAGTGAGTTGTGGATTTGGCGGGCGCCCGCGGAGACTTGCAGCTGCAACACTTCAGCAAAACTTCTCATGCCACTCCAAGCCGGTCCATTGCCGCGATTTCCATTATGATCATTATGCCCCGAACTCCACACAAACAACGACTGAAAAGGCTCGGTCCAAAAAATGGCTCCCAGCAACAGCGCACCTCCTTCAACAAGAGATTGTCAAAACCGCTTCTGTAACCATATTCGGGGAAACTGACCTGAAAGAAGACAAAAATACAAAAATAAAGTTAAACTGTACATTAAACTCCACTAATGGACTTAACTAATGCAAGTAAGGGCGCTTGAATATGTAATATTCGGTGCTTATCACTGAGCAAGTAGGATGTTATCATCAATTTGCCTACCCTGAATAAAGGCTGATTGTGCTTGATCTATGGTTGAGGGTAGAGTTGGTTTAAGCTTGTTAGCAAGAAGCTTTGAGATGCACTTGTAAATAGTAGTGCAACAAGAAATTGGCCTAAACTCACTGATGGTGGAAGGGTTAGGAACTTTTGGGACAAGGGAAATATAGGTGGAATTTACCTCCCTAAGTAGCTTCCCAGTTATGAAAAATTCTCTAACTGCCCTTGTGACATCCTGACCAATAACTGCCCAAGCTTTCTTGAAGAAATGTGCATTATAACCATCAGGTCCTGGAGCCTTATCACTGCTAAGGGAGAACAAGCAAAGCTTAATTTCAGTGTCAGTAGGGATTAAGCATAGTGATTCCATGAAGGAAACAAGTATAACAGGCTGAATGAAGGTCTGCAGCTGCTCCAAGTCTTGGGGGGGATGGGGGTTCATCCCAAGGCAGAGATGAAAATAGGAGACAATTTCATTCTTAATGGCAGCTTCAGTCTTAAGTAGGGTACCATCTGAGGAGGAAATAAATGCAATTTTGTTTCTATTGTTTCTGGAGGCAATAAATTTGTAGAAGTAGGAAGTATTTGAGTCCCCACATTTGAGCCACTGGATTCTTGATTTTTGCTGGCAGTTCTTCTCCTCAGTGAGCTTGAGTGATGTGTAGGAATGGAGGAGATGCTTTTCTTGTGTCCTCAATGCCTGGTTGTCAAGAGCTGAGTCAAGAGCCAGTTGACAGGAAGAGAGAGAAGCTTTAGCACTCTGAATTTCTTCCTTAAGTGAACTCATAGGCTTTGCAAACTTAGATTTCAAAGGCTGCTTGAGATTCTTCAGTTTGGATACCACTTGAAACATAATATGACCTGAAATGTGAGTGTTCCAATGGGATTGCACCAGAGTTAAGAAATCAGCATGATCACTCTAGCTGTTGAAGTATCTGAATGGGACTCTTCTCTGTGGTTTTGGATTACCAAGGTTAATTATCATTGGGCTATGATCCGAGATACCTGGGGGTAGGAAGCTGCAGTGAGATAAGGGAAATGAGTGATTCCAAGTGTCAAGTATTTTTCTTGATTACTTACAATATCGTAAGTATTTTTCTTGAATATATATATATATATATAACACTCATACAATTTATTTAGGCCTTTATATGAAGACTCATCAGATATATGAATCAACCCTATAATCACAACCTTTCCAAAAAAAAAAAATCCATATAATAACAGGACACCTCAATCCATTTCATATATGAATCCATCAATACACATTATAACATAAAATGTTAATTAAAATCCAAACAATTGCTATGAAGGGCATATAAGTAGCATCTGATCATTAATATCTTGCTATATATATTTGCTTTTCTATTTGGCTGGGACCTTAATTTTAAAGTTTCTTCAAATTTCAGTCGGGATAAGAACATCGATCTCTGCTGTCTACGCTGCAACTGGAGATCGATGTGGAAGCCGTGCAAGTGGGGATTGAGAAGCCATCTGTTAAGTTGGTGTGTGCACTATATCTATCTATATATATATATATATAGATAGATAGATAGATATATGCATGGATATTATTGTTACTATCTTCGTTTTTTTCAGGACTCACGTCAACCCATTTATACCAACTATGATACATGAAACATTTTTCAACATTCAAGTGCCTTCTGTTAGTGATGTAACTAGATTTACAGAAGTCCAGTTTTATTGGAGTCTTCACCAAACATCATACTTTAATATGTATATTTTTCTAGTCAAACTGCCAGTTATGGCTTGCCATATATGAATGGGTATAATTAATATTGCTTGACAAAGATTATACATGCATGCCTGTATTCACATCTATCTGAATTACAAGAGATCCTGTGCGAAGAAAGACCATGAAAATATTTTATTGTAGGAAGAAAAGTGAAGATGTACAAGCCTCTCAAATATTTTGATATTCTCATAATATAAACTTTAGCACCCTTCTATAGAGACCGGAAATGGCAACACAAAAAGTCAAAAAAAAATAATAATAAATAAATACAAATGGCCACTTTGAATTAGATTGAGTCACAATTTAAATCACACAATTTTTTTTTAAATGAATTATATTTTCACACTCTACGCTTGCTTTCACTCTTACTTCTGCGTTCATTGTGTTTGATTTAAAATCCAGCACGTGAGACTTGGGTCACAACACAATGAAGATATTTTTAACCATCATTTGGCTGTTGGGTGAGGGACAAATATGACATATATAAATATCCATGACTATTCAATGAGAATAATCCCCAACATTAATAGGTTTGAAAAATGGGGCACTAATAAGTTAGCCAGCAATAGGGACTTGGTCAAGATGAGAGAGATATATATATATATATATGGCTGCTACTTGTATGCTAGCATTTTCTTGAAAAATTATTGAGACCACTAAAATTTCTTATTTGAGTGAGTGATATGAATAGGGCTGCCTTAACTGGTTTGATTTTTTCTATGAAGGCCGATTTATACTGCCTTGCAATAAATGTTGACGTGATCAGGTTAATTGAAATAGATAGTAATGCACACGTATCGGTACATGTTATGCATACATGATTATGATTAATCTGATACACGGTGCACTTGCACGCTGAATACCTACTCATTTACATAAGAGAAATTTAATAATTTTTTTGTGATGTTACAATATCATAAGTATTTTTCTGGAATATATATATATATATAAGTGTTCTCTTTATATATATATATATATATTTTAAGAAAAACACTCATCCATTATTTTTATTGATTTTGCAGGGTAGAAATATTGTTTTGGCCAAAGTTAAGGCTGATGGTGAAAAATATATGTTTGGCCATTGTAAGAAGCTCCTAAAGAGACCTTTGAAGGGAAGTGCAAAATTCAAAGAGTTAAAGCTCAATGACTTATATTCCGCAGCGCATTGGAGAGAATGTTGGTCGATTCATGCGAAAAGGGAAAAACTTTTAGGAGGAAAGGGAAGAAAATAAGAATTTATATGCAATTTTATTTCTCTTAGGTGTATGTCTTCAGAAACTATTCAAAAATATGAACAAAGAAAAAATTAAAAATGATAGAAATTTAGGATTCTCAAAATTCGTTATCAAATAATGAAGAATTGAAGGAGAAACACGCAAATCTAATATTTTTTTTTATTTTTCATTTCCTTTCCCTTGCAGTTTTCTGAAAAATCTACATCCAATCAACTCAAAATTTTCAAAACAACCATGATCAACAGCTGATTGAGTTGTACATATTGAATTTTTCTCAAAATTTTTAAAATAATGGATTAACAATTAAAAATCAATAGCAAATTTCGATAAATAGTTGGGAAAATATTTTACTTTTTTCTATGGAACAATCAAACACCGAAAAAATAATTTTTTTTAAAAAAACAAGAATTATTTTACATCAAATTGAATATATAACTAGCTAGCTAGGCAAGTAGGATTATCAAAATTTTGTTCATCACTTATGAGTTGTTTGCTTTTTAAAATTATACACTATCTTCTTCTTCTTCTTCTTTCTTTTTCTTCTTCTTCTTCTTTTTTTTTTTTTTTTTTTTTTTTTTTTTTTTTTTTTTTTTTTTATCATGACAAGAAGAAGCTCACATAATCAATTTGCTTCTCTTACTTAAATAATATATATGTATATATATAAACATATAATGACTAAACAAAATACACACAATAACATAATTGAAATATATTTTGAAAAAATTAAGGACATGGTCCTACTTTGAATGAGCATTTAGATATTTCTTATTATTATAATATTTAGTGTGCAAATATTTCAACCCTCATAGCATGATGTAAAAAATATCTTCAGACTATTCCCAATTGCTTGGTTGTTTCGCCTCCTGAAAGTATTATTAAATCTAGAAATGTTGACTTCGACTTTGAGATTAATTGTCATGAAATTGTGGCTAACAACTATTGACATAATTATATCTCTAATATATATATATATATATTCAGTCACATACTGAGCGTCTGACTTTAACTCAATCTTATCCGTTTAGTACCTAGTGTGGCAATTTAATGGTTTATATCGCAATCATATTTGCTCTTGTTTGTTTGTTTTTTTTTTTTTTTTTAAAACATTCAAAGGCACAAAAATTTAGAGCGAAGATGGCAATATAGAGGCATAAAACCAAATCAGAGGAGGCATATAAATCTTGGAGCAAAGCAAATAAATGAAGAACAGACTCCAAATTTTTTAAGGAAATAAAGCCCAACACCTTGCAAACGGAACCACCCAGGGAGAAAGCAGCAAACTAGAGAGATCGAAAAGTCTGGCCATCAGTACGACAACCGCTCCAAAGTTACAACCACAAGGCGCGCCGACACATAAAACCCCGCACAAGATCCAATCAAGGAGAAAATGATCAAATCGAAGCAGGAAAATCAAAACCCGGTCTAGATCAGAGATCTAACCGGAGGAGAACAAACGGATTTGCCTGGTGAGACAAAAACGAAACACACAAGAGTAGATCGAGTCGAACAAAAACAAAAACGGCGTAAAAACCACCCACAGAACGCACTTATTCGATCATGCCGGGTTTATTTGTTCATGTTAAACTTAGCATGCAAAGCAAAGCTAATAATAATCACTAATAAACCAACCATTATAATCACTAATTTTTTTAAATAGATGTCACTTTCATACTTTTCACGTCTTTACTTTCGTTCTTATTATATGCAATTTATAATTTTATCACTTTCAGGCTCGTTTTTGCACTCGTTTTCTTTCGATACCGTAATTTAAGTTTAGCTTATTTGTCAAAGTGAATTAACTAAGGTCATTATTAATTATCAATGATTGTAATTAATTGACTTTAACAAATAGACATGAATATCATTATTCTTAGAAAATATAAGCTGCTATATAAAATAACTATAACAGAATATTAATATTAAGCTATATAAATATAATTGTCTGTTAAAATATAAATGTAAAAAATATTTAAATAATGTTTTTCTTTTCAATAAACCAGAACAATGCTTGTGGCTTATTAATTTATTATATATTTCTTTTCAAAGTAAAAGATCTCGTACTGTAATAATAGAAAAAAATACTCATGAGTTCAAATTTATCGATGCTTCCTTGACTCTTTTTTTTTATGAGAAAGAGTCATCTGAATTTTCATTCAAATAAAAAAAGAATATATAATGAAAGTAAAAGCATTTGGGATTGAAATTTATAGAAATATACTTAACTAATTCGCTTGCGTGTCAGCAAAAAATCAAATCCTAGAATTAAATGTGCTTAGTTGTTCAGCACATTATTTATTTTTTTTATTATATTTTTTTTTTTATTAATTCGGGTGTTCGAAATGGCACAAATCTTTAGAGCCTTCAACAACTCTACTAATTCTAGAGGATCTGGAAGGACGTCTCCCCACTTGGGTCGGGTAAGTCACTATAGGGGTAGTTGAGCTTAATCACAAATAACACCCAGCGGGATTCAAATCCCAAGTCTTAGACTTACTAGTTACTAAACTCTAAAATCCATCGAGTAAATCGCTAAATTATATCCGAAGTAAATTTGTTCGGCACATTTAGTGACGAAGGTTTTCATCGTAACTAAATATATATTTTTTATTTTTTTTGTAAAATATATTTTTCTTTCAGGTAAAATATTTTTTATTTTTATTTTTATTTTTCGGTGTTTGATAAAAATTTACGTCGATATTGAGATCGTGTTCATCGGACAAGACATGTAAAATAACTTATCGAAAATTAATGAATAAGTTATTTTTGTTAATTTTTAATTTTTTTTTTCTTAAATATTTTTTGACAATCAAATATCAAAAAAATAAAAAAAATATATTTTTTAAAAAATATTTGAGGAGC